CTTGGTTTGTGGCATTTCCTGTTCCATGCAGTACTCTCCCAGATGATTGAGCCCACCTCTTAGCCTGATTTCCTGGGCCTCAGATATGAATTCTTAGTCCCTCTTACCCTCTGCCCCAGAGCTAAGCCATTGTTATGTTTTTCCTGTTATAAAATTATAATCTTTTTGACAAATTTAGAGTATTAAAATTGTCTACTCCTTTAGAAAGTGGCAGCTAGTATTTGCAAAAGGACGTGGCTTACTTATGAAGAGAAGTATGTTCCGAGATAGCTATTAATAGAGCTAGGGCTTTTTGAACTGAGCAGCTAGGAATATCTTCACTTGAAGGATTCATAAAAGTAATTTCTTCATGTCAAGGGTAACTGGTTTGAGCACGGACTGCTTGTAACAACAGAGGTGTACACACACACGTGTGTGTGTGTGTGTGTGTGTGTGTGTGTGTGTGTATTACAATCCCCAACTAACACTTTTTTTTTAATTTTGTAATTAACGGTTTTTCTTTTACAAGGATGGTTTTGGAACAGTTGGTGCCAATACACAGTCTCTTTGAAGCACTGAGCTGAGCCCAGTGGCTGCTTCACATTTTTCTTTTTTTGACATTCAGTATTATTTTATATTAGTTTCAGGTGTACAGCATAGTGGTTCGACATCTATATAATGTAAGGAGTGATCCAAGTAACACTTCTAATGGCAGGTAGCTGAAATAAAGCTGCACAGAGACTCCAGGGACGGAGTGGTGAAAAACATCCATAATAATGAAACGTTGGATTATTACTGTTTCTTACTAATTAAACAGCAGATCCCCTTTCTGACAGAGGAAGCAACTCTGTTTGCCCCCAAATAGGACTGTATCCCCACAGATTCACCTGGAGCTCAACATTTCTAAAAGTTCTCCTTCATCCATCCATATGCCAAATATTTTTCTGTTTTAGTGCCTGCTGGTCAATGAATAGCACCAATGTTCACCTAGTTATATATGACAAGAGTCATTCTTTTTTAAAATATATACTTTTTATTTTTCAATTAC